GTTTATGGCGTTGTCCTTCTTTAAGTTCGGCTTAATTATAAACTACATTAGAAACGTCGATTCTTCCCATCAATCTTATTCTAGACTTTCAAATTCTTGTTGAAAGCAGAATAAATAACTATACAAAGTTCTTGATGATTGTAGATATTATGTCTTTCGGTTATTTTTATGATTTTCTTTTTTGAAAATTCATTTTAATACCTTTTAACTTCTTTAGATGAATTTTCACCAACATTCAACAACAACTGTATCAGATAATTCGAAAAAAATGCTTTTTTTTAATGGTTGCATTAGCAGTCGTTATGCAATAGCTGACAAGAAGATAATAAGTAGAGATATTTCTTCAATGATAATAAAGTTTACAATATTCATATGCGATATTGAAGTAATGATTGATTGATGTATGTGTAATATCAGTGGCAAGAGATATCTTTAGCATGATGTATATGTGTTGATTTGATAGGCTTTGTTTTAAAACAGATTTTATCTATCTTGAAGTTAGACTGCTATTGTTACAATTATCTTTGATAAATATATTGCTAGTTTCCTAATTGAAAAATGAATACATTTGTAATAATTGTTGATTAATTTTATATCATAATAGAAATTGATTTCTCGATATCTTGTAGAACTTTGCTTTTTCTCTTATACATTTTTTCGATTTTCCTTTTATTCGAAATGTCTGCTTGAAGAAAATTGTTAAAAAATTTCTTTGGTTCTCAATATGAAACGTTAAATAGTCAACAAAATGATCATATTTATCAGAGAGCAATCAATAGATACAAGAAAAGAAAAAAAAACTTGTAAAAATAATATAAAGAGTTATGCAATCAAAGAAACATTAGACTTTGACCTGTCTTAGTGACAAATTGTTCTTTCAAACCTAGTAAGACTAACCTAGGTCAACCAAGCGGATGGTAAGATCTTATAAGATCTTGCTTCTGATCTTGTCTTATCTTACAAGATCAGACAAAAATTGTACGAAAAATTATCTTCTCTAACATTGTACACTAAATTGTTTAATAGAATCCTTGAAAGACCTTGCAGCATTGTAAGATATCATTATAAGATAATAGAACCACTTATGTATCGGTAAGGTCATTCAAGAATGTTATTATATCATGTAGCATAAGATTTCAGAGACAACGATTTTTTTGTCCTATTTACATGAATCTAACATATGATTTTTCGACCTTACCCTTGCCATTAAGTATATTTCAAGTAGAGAATATATATTTGATTATAAGAAAACCAAATTATAATATAAGATTTAGAAGATAAGTAAAACTATAAACCAGACCAGAACATTCATCAAACAGAAATAAATAAAAAACAACTATCCAAAAATAACAATTTATTACTGGTCGAATATTCAACAAGTCATTCTTGTGTATTAGATAAATACGGGTAATTTTTTTTATTAGGTTCAATCTATATGGAATGAAAAATGAAATTAAAATTTTGAACAATAATTTTTATTTAAACAGAGAATAAAACTAGTCATAAATCTTGATATAATATAATTTTATCATTGTTCAAATAAACTTTCAGTTAAATTCTCATCAACAATATTGATATGTAAAAAAGATAAAAAGCTAACATCTTAAACAAAAAAATGATAATCAAATGGCATGTTATTTAAACAATGAATATGTATTAAATATGACTTTTAGCTTTTATATGTGCATTAAAAAAAAAAAACCAATCTTTGATTCTATCCTAATGTTAACTAGTATAGGTCAACGACAAGTAATTTTCTTTTGTCTGACAAAAAGAATATTATCAAAAGAAGATAGAAACAAAAAACGAAATTAATACTAAACAAATAGATGCATCTAGTTTTTAAATCGTAATGCTTCATCGACTATTACATCAGAGATTATAAAAAAAAAAAAAAGGACAAGTGAATATGTCTGATACTTCATTGCATTTGTCCAGTAAAGGTTTGTAAAACATGCATTTTTGTACACGTATTGTTGGCAATGCTTCTCATAAAGATATTGTATCATCACCTAACAAAGGTGTTTATTATATGCAAGATAATATATCTAACAATACATATGAAAATATTTTCTTTTATATAACTGTCTATTTATATGTAGGAAAGGCACATCAAGATGATCAACGATTACATAATCTTTTCTATCGTAAATCAAAACTTGAAAGTGTTAATGAAACCTCTGCATTGCTTAGTGGATTTGCTATTGTAAGTTTATATAATAAAAAACAAATGAAGTGATTTATTCTTTTTTTTTCGAACTTTTCGAATATATTTCAATAGGTAGCTATTGTTGAATTATCCCTTGATGCATATGCAAGTCGTAATGGAAGTGATAGTCTTCTTATATGTTATGTCATTGTTTCATGTTTACTTGTCGGTGTTCATTTACTTGCTTTACTTATGTCAATGTGTATATTACCTGAATTAAAAAGTGTTATACGTCAAAGTGATGTTTGGATAAATCATGATAATAAAAAACCATTATCATCATTAGATATTTATATTGAAATAGCATGGGTAATTTCTACTGGTTTTGGTCTTTTTTTATTTATACTTGAACTTGGTTTAATTTTATGGATTAAAGTTAGTGGTTATTCATTTACAGCAGCTATTTCAGCAATTGTAACACTTTGTCTTGTTGGTTGTCCATTTATTTTATTTTCTGTTGGTTTTTATATTCGATTAGCAAGAACAAAAATTCATTTACATCAAACAGATTTAGAAATAATAGAACGTGGTGCTATTGCTCGTGGTCTATTTCATAATCAATCTGCACCAATGACGGTCATGACAAATGTTGAAGATGTCCGTTAAATATAATTGTAGAAATACAAAAAAATATATACAAAAATTATGAAGAATCTGTAGCAGTTGTTCTTGGTACTCATCTTACGTTTTGACATTGATCAAATCAAGTCTACATCTAGCACTTCTCGTTTATATATGGTATATTTGATATGTTTTTTTTTGATCATTATTATTTCTTAAAGACTGGATGGCATCAATTGCGTTTCTCAATGAAAGAAAAACAACCGTCGAGCAAAATCTGAAGGTCAATAATAAGAAAAGCTTTCTTTTTTTATGTTACATGTATTGTCTGTTGATTTTGAAATAACTTTAATAATATTCGTATATTTTTTCCAGGTATAGAAAAATCGACTATAACTTGTCTATTAATCATATCTAAGATTTTTTTTTTTTACATATATTTCTGTATTATTATTTTTTTTTATTACATGAACATATAAATAGTTGAATAAAAAAAAATCTGCCATTTTTATATTCTTATTCGTTTCATTTAATGTGAGTCGTGTCAATGTTTTGTTGATGACTACTTTATGGATGTAGGATGTATGTCATAGTCGATGCAATCAATTCGATTGAGAATAAAAAAAACGCTTCAAAAGAATCGATTGAAAACTTATAACAAGTTACATTTACCTTACACAATTTCAATTGATGATTATAGAACAGAAAGGGTTATATGGACAAAGAAATATTGGAGAGCACAACTACTTGTTTTCATTTAGACAAAAGAAAATATCAATATTCGAAAAGTAGAGAATAGTCATCAATAAAATCAACCATAAAAAAAATATAAGAAAACGAAAGTAATAATCTATAGCGTTTACTAGATTGCTCTAAATACATGCTTGTCTCAATTCTAGAAGCAATACAAATGAATGACTGAATGAATATATGTATGTGTTAAAGAAAGAAAGAAAAAGAATTTGCATTTTGATACATCGACTGTTAATACTTGAGGAACAGAGCACAAGAGAGACAAAGAGAGAGAGAGAGGGAGACAGAAATGAAGGCTTGCGTACGAAAATATGCATCCCTTTAATTGTCTCAAGAAATATATACACGTCCTTGTCGCTGATTCTGATGCCTGTTTGCATCCGCAAAATGTGGCTAATGAGATGTAGGAATCGATCGACAACGATGACAACAACAAACGGCACTCACATTCCATGTATGTAAGTATATAGAGACATACATATATTCAAACACAAAAGTACTTTACAATCGACAAACAGATTTATGTAATAATCATTAACGATCAAATGTCATAGTTCACAATGCAAATACATATTATAACAACGATTTATTTGTCACATTTGAATTACTACATGTTCGGTACTTTCTCTTTTCTTATATATATGTAGAGAGAGAGCGAGAGAAATCAAGGATGGTTTAACAAAATTGATTTCAATGACTTTTTTCTTTTATTGAATGAAATTTGACAGTAATAAAGACGATCAAAACAGATGTCGATCAATGAAGTGAGTCGTATTGTTCATATATATTTGTACTTATGTTCCTTGTTAAAATAGTTCTGTCTTTCTCTTTCTAGCATATCCTCATTACATAAACTGACTTCCTGTCGCTGCAACAGCAGCCTAGGACTGTTATATTATCCAACGGGGTTGTAAATTGGGTACATATACTATACCATACGATAGGAGAATAGAGAGAGAGAGAACAGAAATATTTCATCCGTTTCTCCTTCGCTCTTTCTCTGTTGCTTTTTTCTCCTACTTCTAACCACAAAAAAATGTATTATAGGCTTTTTCTTCTTTTCTATTCTTTACCATCCATATAATCGAAGCTGGTAGGTTTGGTAGCCTACTACAATTATCATAATTCCCTTCTTTAAGACGCATATATATATACATATATATATACATACATATACATACTGAACATATACACGCGCATAAATGCATATATACATCTATGCTTATATGTATATATTAGATCTGAAAGAAGAAGGAGTTTATTTAACCTTTTACCCATGGACAATGACGTGGTGCCAGTCGGTCTTCTAATTCTCCTCCTCTTTCTACTATTCATGTTATATTGGTAATCGGTTTCATTTTTCTCTCTTTTTCTTCTATCAAATTTCGGTTTTGACGAATGAGCGAGTGAATGAATGAATGAATGTGTAGTAAGAAAAAAAAAACCATCAGAACATAAACACCAGAGAAAAACCGCTTCATCTATTTATTGATTAGAAAGCAGACAGCAAGTAAAACTGAATTGCAAAGAAAAAGAAATTATGGTACCTAAAAAAAAAAACCTATTTAAATTCCATTTGTTGCGGTTTCATGTGTCAAATATGATTATCTTTATACTAAATGATTGCAAAATTATATTCAGACACATTTAAGTACAAAGAATTACTATATAGTACGGTAAAAACTTACTTTGATATATGAATATATAGTTTACTAGATGAAATATTGACAAAAGCACTATAACACCTGTTGTTATTCATTTATTTGCATGTTTTTACATTTACACTTCGAAAAATTTCATTTCAATGATTGATTTTCAAGTGTTCTATGAATCTATACTTATGAATCATTTTCTTGTTTTTTTTTTGTTGTTGTTGTTGTATTTTATTTTGTTATTTTAGATGTTATCTTATTACTTTAGCAACAGATTCATTTTATAATTATTCAATTAGTTCTTGACTATTGTATAACATCGTTGTGGACATGCGAATATCGGATCGCCATGGTTGATTTAGACCATGCTTGGCAACTTTATATATCAGCAATTCGTCGCTATTCGACATTTATTCTTTTTTCTTTTCTTCCATTTAACATTCCTAATAACAATATCATCATCTAAAATGGTACAATCACCATTTTATATTCATTATGTTCATCGAAATCTTCATCATTCATCACCATCACCATCGTCTATATCGACTATGACGAATACAAACTTTTTAGAATCTCTTCTTGAACGTTCACGTGCTCAACGTGATACATATGATGAACGACAAAAACTTGTATCAACTTATAAAATTATATCTAAAACTCAATGTTTATTACAAATGCGTCCTATGGATGGTTATGTTAATGCTAAACATGTAACAAATCTTGATGATACACAAGAAACAAAAGATGGTAAGAATCACTCACAAGATAAAATAACATTATTTAGAATATACAAGGACATTAAAGAGTCAAAGACTGTAGAATATATATATATTTATGCACACGAAAGGATAATATGTATAATTACGTCAATTTACATAAAAAAACTCTGTAGATGCGATATTGACCTTGGTTCTTATTCGTCAAATGTAGAATAAAATAAAATAAGATACTAATTGTTCTAGACCTCTGTCACAAAAGAAAGACACTTGTCGAACGCCTTGAGACAAAGACGAATTTTATCCTGTCATCGTATATTAACTATCTATTATCGTTTGGCTATTTTTTTTTTCTTGAAGGATAATTTATCATATTCTTTTCTTTTTTCCTTTTGTACACTTCAGTACATATTCATGGTCGAAAGTATGCAATTTAATTAACTAAACTATCCATAATGTTCTGTCAAATGCATATTTAAGTGTCGCGAGTAAATAAAGAATTTGTGACCGCTAGATATCATGTATTATGTATTAAAATACAAATCGAATGATATATCCTTATCAGAAATCTATATATCCAGTAACCTCGATTTCTAAGGAAGAAAAACAATAGTTGACTTGTTATATAATTGATTCTAGTAATCTTTACGTAAAAATCCAGATGAATGTAAATGTCTACATACTTTTTTTTTTTGCTTTTCTCTCATTTTCTGTCTCATTGATGGTCATATAATTTGATTGACAAGAATACGTCTATGATATATAAGAATACGATAGTTATTTCTCTTTTTTCTTTTTATATTTTATTGTTACTTAAAATAAGCTAACTTAATTTTTTTGATCATAATACATAAATCATTCTTTCATTTCACTTTGATAATCATTGTCATGTTGTCATTTGTCGTGTATCGCTTTCTTTTTTACTCGAATTTCTGTTAGTAGTTTCTTGTCTTGCTTCAAACACCTCATTAATCATATAATAAACGATAAAAGCAGCTGATCTAAATAGCCTTCTGAAACTTATCGACACTCTCATTAACCCTCCTATATATAGATATATTCAATGTATATTAGTTGTCAGTAGTCTCCCAGGGTTGCTTTCAATCGTCGTCTGGATGTATAAGGATATTTGCATTGGAACGGCGTCGCTTTTTTTTTGCAGATGATAAATTGCGTCAATGACGATTGTTTACAGATTGTTGATGGGGAAGTTTTGCCACCAAATACAAATATAACTATGTCAGAACAGAATAACACACAGTCTGTATTTCTTCTCTGGAAAGTATCATAGAAAGAAAACAGAAATATGATTCAATAGATATGACAAATCTTTTCTTTTTTTTTTTTGTTGTCAAAAGACCTCGAAATAATGATAATAATAATACAAATTAATATTCTAGTAAATTGATAAAACTCAATAAAAACTAAAAAGAAAAAGATTTATTTATATATACATCTTTTCTTGATAGGTGTCTTTGTATTTCTTCCAATTGCTGTCAATCTTTTTTTAATACAACATAAAGAAAGTAAACGTTATTTATGTGGTAAAGATAATCAATTATTTGGTCTAGTAAGTACAATATAAATACGTGGAATGGATCAATAAAGGTCTTTGTTTTTTTTTGCTTATTTTTTTTATCTCAGATGGAACGTAACGAACGTCAATGTGTATTTGAAACAAAACGCTCTGATATTGATTTTGGTCGTTGGGATTCTTATCGACTTTTCTATGAAGAACCCAATCGTGGTTATTTATCTATTTCCCATATGTGTCATACAAGACTCAGACGTAAATTTGATAATGATAACTTTCTAAATTTTCTTGCCTTTGTTCGTATTAATACTGATATATCTTCGGATACAGCTGCTGCACGTCGTATAGTTGATCAACAATATGATTCTCATAAACAAAGAGTGAAAAATACAAATCCAATAAATAATAAATCACCAAAATTGATAAGTGATTATCGACAACGTTTTCGATTTTCTCTAACAACGACGACCACTACTACAACTACTTCAACAACAACAACTACTATTACTTCTACTAAATTTAGACCAATAAGAAGATTAACTTTCTCTTCTACAATAGCACCATTAAAACCTTTGATTATTAATGTTTATAGTCCAATGCATAGTTTAAATTTACCATTAACAACACGACGATGGCGTTCAAGACGAACTCGTCACTCCTAGTTTTCTACTTCATTTGTCAGATTTGTTTTTCATCTATGATGTATGAGTATAAGCACACCATGAATGAATTAGTCGATGATGCGTTTGAATTCGACAAATTAACTATGTAGGCAATTGTTGTTGTCGTGTCTTATTATAAGTCTTAATGGGGGTGTACCAAAGCGAATTGTATTTCTTTTGTGTTTTTTTCGTTTTCTAGTCTTTTTCTTTTTTTTTCGAAAATAACTTTATATTCTCACTGTTTTGTTTTTTTATTTCTTTCGAAATGTGTTCATTTTGTTCATTAAAAAGAAATATATATATATATATAAATATAGACTAAACTGAACAAATAAGTTAGATGAAATTATTTTGTTCTATCGACGTTTTTTCCATATATTATTCGATGTTGCTTTAGTTTTAATATCAAGAACAAGATCACCTTTTTGTTTATGAATAAAATTATAGAGTAATGATGCTTGTTTAGAATTTCCCATTATTGTTGTTAATTCATTTTCACTCAATTGACTTAATGCACGTAAGTTTTCAACATTATTCATTATTAATTTATAATTTTTAAATGTTACACCGGGCATACGTATTAAAAGATCCTAAAATTTTAAAATGAAATTTTCGTAAGAAATTTACAAAAATAAAACAAAACAATACCTGTGCAATGGTATTATATCGTTCATCATTATCAAGTAATTCTGATTCAGCTGTTACTAACATAGCACTTTTTGTATCGGGTTCTTCTCGATCTCTCTAAAATCGCAAAAGAAAATTTATCCATTACTAATTTATGCAACTTTACATACTTTAAGATCTTCAAATAATTCTGCACTAGCATGTGGTGATGGACACCATAAAATTCTTAATTTTGGAAAATGCATTGTTAATAAAGCTAATTTGGATGTTATATCATGTGAACTAAATTCTGATGATGAATTATATCTTTGTTTATTCTATTCGAAGAAAAAAAACAGAAACAAGTTCAAATAGAAACGAGAATTTTTTTTCTTTTTACAGCTAGATGAAATGCTTGTTTTTGATCAAATTCAATAAGTAACATTGGTCTTTTATAAAATCTTGTCATTTGTAAAGCTTGTTGATATAATCGACCATTATTTAATGAACCAATTAAATCCGAAACACTTTTTCTTTCAATACATATTTCAGGTGTTAAAATATAATCTCCAACTTCAAGTGTAACTGGTTCTATATCAATACCACGTTTCCATATTAATGATGGAAGTTCACTTCGAAATTCACGCATATCAACAATAACCTGAAAATAAAAAATATTTGATTTTTTTTTTAATATGAAAATTGATGTGGATACTTTTGGACGAATATTTGAAATTGTTGTCATAGGAAATAAACCACCACGTCTTGTATCACTTTGATCAATTGTAGAAGCTGCTCCAACTCCATATGCTTGTTGATTAGCTGGAGTTGGATCACGACTTAATAATGGATTATATTCATCACGTCCTTCACGTTCTTCGGGTATTACCATAGACTAAAATTGAAATTCAATTTTATTTTTTATTAATAGAACAAAACTTGTATATATAAATCATACTGCTTTTTCTCGAACAAGATTTTCAAATGCTTCTTTTTCTTTTTTTACACTTAATAAATATCGTTGTTCTTCAATTGATTTTCCATAAAGAAGAAAATAAATACGTAATGGATGTTCAGGATTTGTTGCTTTGAAAACCTTTTTTAAAAATTATAAAATTGTAAAAAGAAAAATTTGAAGTTATTTTTTTTTTTTGTCGTTTCTTTACTTCAAGTTGTCTAACAAATGTTAATGATGCATCATATAATATAACAAAACGTGGACGATATTTAAGTAAAATTTTTCCTAGTACAAAATGATTATCAATATTTCCACTAAATGGATAAAGAATTGTTGTCGATGGACTTGTAAATCCATCATCATCTTCAATGACATAGCCACCTTCAATCTAAAAATATTTTTCTATCAACGAAATATTAAATTGATATCAACATTACCCCTTCTATTTCAGGTTTATTATCGACATTGGAATTCTCATTTGATTCTTCTTCTTCTTCTTTTGTATCGGTTGTTGTTCGTGTTTTCTTTCCTTTCTTTTCCTAGATAATGGAAAGATAATTTTAAAATATATTAGCGTCCAAACTAATATAGATATTAAACCGCATATTGTCGATAAGGATAGTGTACTCTGTGATATACTTTTATATACCAAAACACCCTTATATTTTCAGTTAAAAAAACTAGATTTTAAAATTTTTCTTCTTATACATATAAAATAAGATTGTTACGCTCTTTATAAGAATTATTTATTTGATGTGTTTCTCTAGATATGCTAAATTCATGTAATACTAAAATGTTACCATTGTTTTTTTTGTTTCACTTTCTTTTGTTGTTTCATTTGTATTTGATGCATTAAGAGTTTGTTCTAATAAACGTTCGAGCATAACTCTTCCACCTAACAAAAGATACTATAAAAATCAAGAAAATATATAGAATAATTCGAAGATTTCGAATAAATTTAAACCTGTTTCAATTGTGAACATGCTCGATCTTCTGCACATACAATTAATGTAACTGGAGGTCCTAATAATTTATTATCTTCATTTTCTCGAATTTCTTGAAGTACATCAGAAACAAGTTTTAATTTCGGATTTTCTTCAAGTTTTGGTGGTTCTTCATTTTCTTTTGTTTGTTGAACTTGTTTTTTAGTTGTTTCACCAAATACTCGGCATTTCGATGCCTATACAAATCTCATAAATAATGGCATCAATTTAACTTATCAATAAAAAGAAGTATATAAAAGATCACTATTAAGATTGAGTATATAACAAATATCAGTAAAATATAGAAACTTAGTAAATAAAAAAAAAAAAATATATTGATTTTATCAATAGAAAATTTCTAATTTATTCGTATGAAGTATAATTTAGTATACAAAAAATAATTGAAAAATACAGAATAAATAAAAAAAAAGAACATAAAATAGAAATTTAGAGATTCAAAGAGGATAAAAATTATAAATTATTGTGCTAGTAAAGCAGTTTTAGCCTTTACTGGTCTATCTCTTTTGCTTTCCTCATCTAGCGAAATTATCTTTGCTGCTGATGATAGTTTACAATATTTCAGACGAATAACAATACTAATGATGTGTTTAGATATGTAGCTGTTAGATTTCTTGAAGTATTCGAATGATATGTTTTAGTTTTATTATATCATCATTATATCATTTTTGTATGCACTTTTTTCTACATTTTCATCAATACTAAGAAGTTTATCATCGTATTCAACTTCAGTTTTATAAACAACAAATTGATGACATTTTGCATAACGTAATAGATAAATATTTACTTCCCCTTGAGATTTATAATCCTTGGCCTGAATGCATTTATACTAGTACACATACATTTAGGATGATTGTATTTTTAAGCTTTCGTCTCGAGGGTAATAGCAAGCAAGAAACTGAAAAGACATTTGTGTAACTGGAAAAATTTTCTACCAGGCTTGGTAGGTTCGAAAACTTCAAGCAAAACTGCTTAGACAAAAACGTACAAAAAACTAAGATCTTTCCTTAACTAGCTTTCTGGCTTCCAGTTGAAACTTTTCTGAAAAGATTTTTTCAATAGAGCAAATTAAGATGTTTTCGAACTCTTCATGATCTTCCCTCATCAAGCTGTATTTAATTTATAGAAAACCCTAAAGTGTTAAACATGACAACAGTATTAAAATTGAAAAAACAAAAAACAGAAAAATGTCTATTGACCTTTCTGTAAATTGAATGCAGTTTTTTGAAGAAAATTCATGAGCAGAACATAGACGTCTCATTTTTCTCAGAATAATTTTTTCTATCAAATAAAATCGTTTTCTAAAAGTTTCTAATGGAAGCCCGAAAGTTGTTTTTGTTTTTGGAATCTTGATTTCGGCAGGTTCTCATCCAAAAATTTTTGCTGAAGTCTTCAGGAGAAAACTTAAAAACACAGTCCATTACTATATAATAAATTGTTTTTTCATTTTCTTTATAGTATTCTGATCATTTCTTCGAAAATAATGTTTCTGCTCTATTAGAATTCTCAAATAAAATGTCTCTAACTCAACATTTTGATTTCTTTTTGGTTTTGTTGTTTTGAAAATGTCTCACAATCCCATGATCTGATAGATCATTTTTATATTAAGCAACTTGCACTACGTCCAAATTTTTTTACTCATTGACACTAAGCTGAACTGAAAGGAAAGAATAGAATCGACGTGTACATACATGTATTTAGTACAAATCATCTGTACTACCAGTGCAAATGATGATGAAAAAAAAAAGTGACTCATTCTATAACGTATTTCAATTTTGTTATTTACCTTTTAATTTACTAAACTATCAGCATATATTATTTATTGATCTTTAAACTTATTAATAAACCTAATTCATCAGTAATTGACTATATAAGTTATGTATTGATCATTAACTCAACTTACTGATTCTATTCTTATTTAATTTACTGACTAAATATATTGTTCTTCTAAATAAAATAGTGTTTGTTTTTTTCAAAAAATATTTATTTACCATTAATAATCTTTCAGCAGCTGGTAAATAAAGCCAACTACCTGTTGATCCTTGTGATGAATGAATATTTTTTCCACGTGAACCATATAATTTTTCATTAATAAAAACAGCTTGTACAGCATTATAAAATGTTACACAATCATATTGTGTTAAATAAAGTACAAATAATCGTAAAGTTTTTATATCATTTAATAATTGTTTTGTTCTTAAACTAACTTGATTCCATATTGGTTGTAATTGTAAATGTATTAAACGTTCAAAAGAATTTAATATTGCTTGATCAACAGTTAATAGATCATTATCAATCCATGTTGTTGATGAACGAAGTTCTTGTAAACATACATTTATTAATTCCATTAATGATACTTGAATATCTGTCATTAATAATGTTAATGGTACTTGTAATTCAATAACATCAGGTGAACAATTTTCAAATGTTGAACGAATTGTTACTTGAAATCTTGGATATAAATAAACATTACGAAGAAATAAATTTTTCATAACACATTCTAATTGATTATAACCACGTGTAAAATCTAATGATGAATCACTAAAACCTTTTATAAAACCAGTTTTATTTTTATGACGATATAAACGAACTATAAATGATTCTGATGATGAATCAGTTATTCGATGAGCACGATAAACTAATAAACCAGTTATTAAATCAATTGGAATACGATCAGTTAATAGATCAACTGTTAAAATACTTTAAGAACAAAAAAAAAGGAATAATTTAATGTTTTTGTTTTTATTTTATATATTTTTCTTTAAATTAATCACCGTGCAGTAGCAAAGAAAAGTCCACCTTGAACGTAAAGTTCTTTTCGATCTTGAATTGATATATCTGCAGTTATAATACGTGGTGCAGGATCGATACCATCATTGATAAGTTGTTCAATGAAATATGTTTGTTCAACATCAGTACAACCCATTATAAAAACAAGATTATGTTCGGCACAATATAGTTTCATTATTTCACAAAATATTCTTTCCAGCCCAAGACCTCTATAGATATTTCAATAGATCACATAATGAAACATTATGTATATCAAAAGACTATTTATTTAGATGATTCTTACCTAGCTAATATAAGCAATCCATCTTCATGATATAACTGTAAAATAATTTCATTTTCATATTGCAATATTCCAGTATTATTTATTAGTTTTTCTTCAACATCCATACCTTTATTTCTTTTTTTCTGCAAAAAAACTGATTTTTATTGATATTATCTAATAAGTGATCCTTTTTGTTCTTTTTTTTTTTAAGTATTTTTCAAAACTCTTCAGAAAAATACGAAAACAAAAAAATTATAACTGACATAGCACTTTTCTTTTGATCTTCTAGATGAATGAAAATAAGAATAACAAAAAAAAAAAAAATAAGAATAAAACAAGAACAGAAATAATTCTTTTTCTTTAAAATTGATAATCATTAAGTTCTATGTCGTCTAGCTTTTATAGTTTTATTTATATGAGCAACAGTTGATTTAATTAATGTTTCATTATATGTTACACGAATAAGTGTAAATAATTTTTCTTTACGTGTTTCAATCATTGTAAATTGTAGATTAGAAAGACCATCGACTAAACGTATTGCATTACTTAAACTTAAAATTTTATATCTAATAAAAATAAAAAATTAAATTTTCAATTCAAATGAATAGATATTATTAAAACCTGAATTTATTTGGAGTATCTTGTTGATGTCGTAACATTTTATAACGAGCAATAGATGCTGGATAACGAGATATTCGATATTTAGTGAGTATTCTTGCAGCCATATCTAACAAAAACAATTTTTTTTTTGAAGTTTTTATTTGATAATATGTCTTACCATCATCTTCACCACCCCATCCAAAAAATTGATTTGAAAATCCATTAACAGATTTAAATTGTTCACCTGTTAAAGCTGAAACACCACCAAAAATTGTTCGATAAGGAAGTCTATATAGAACATATTGAAGTTTTTATTTTTATTTCTAAGTTATTTTAATATTTACTCACTGATAATTTAATGTATTTACTGCTACTGACATATGACGTGGTTCAGGTGGACATGAATAAATATTTCTATCATCTTCTGGTATTAAATCTACATCATGAAATATAAAACATTCCCATGCATAATGTTTCATTGCTTCATGAAAACCAATATTAAATAAAAGTGCTCGATTAAATGTTACACTCATTATCTTAAATAATAGAATAAAATTCTTATAATTATAAATTTTTATTTTCATATACTTACTGGTTCAATAAGAAAAATTTGATAATCTAATTGTTGTTTTTGTAAAAATGGATGCATAAAATTAAGAAATATACGTAATTGCATATCTCGATCACGATATGGAATAATAATTGCTACACGATAACGAGATGTACAATGAGCAGGTGACCAATGACCACCAAGTTTTATACTAGAATTTTCATGATGTTTTTCAATATCCTCCATATCATATGAGAATAAATCAGCTTCAACACGACCAACTGAAGAAAAATAAATTGTACAAATCATATGTTAAAATGTAGTGTTCATTTTTGAAACTTTTACATAGAACTAATGAATATCATGCATATATATCGATGTTCGATTTCATTTAAGAAAAAAATTGAATAACTTTTCAAACTGTCATGTAAATTTCTCAATTCTGTTATAGAAATCTTAGTATGTTTTTTTATTCTCATATGAAATTACCTAATTTCATTGGTAAAATTGGACATAGAACAATCATATGTTTTGAATCACTATCTCTTACAAATGAAACATTAAGAGATTCAAATTTTTCACTACTACGTAAATTAATATTTTGTTGAAATTTTGAATGTCTATAATTTTTATATAATAATAATCGATCAGTTTTTTCAATTAAACCAGCTGGTAGATTATTTGGTGTTAATAATTCAATTGATCGATCATTTTTTATTACATCATTTGAAGCATTACTTTGATAATGTACAAATATATATGTTGAAAATAAAACAATATGTATAAAAAATAATAAAATTAACACTGGACGACGTTTTAAACGATTGCACATGATGAATAGAATAGTTTGACTTGATTTAATAATGACAACATTCTACTAACGACATGACATATCACAAAATATTATTTTATCTAATAAAAATGAATATTGAATTTAATGAATAAAAAAGAAAATGAAAAGTTTTTAGGTTTTTTTTTATTTTTCCTTTAATGAATATCAATCGACAAATAAACAGAGACAAACGATCACACAAAGAGCACAGTATTAAACACCGTCAAAAGAAAATAATTCATACAGACTACTACAAGTATTTATTTACATAGAAAAAAAAAAGAGCGAAGACAAATGTTTGTTATAGTCAAAAGAAAAAAAAAAAAGAAAAAAAGTTGTTGTTTATCCATCTGCTTTTGGTGCTGTATACCATCCACTTTTTTCATGTACATTAGCTATATGACGAAATGCTTGTTGGGCTCGTTGAAGTGAAAATGATTCGGTCAATGAACTTAAATCAATACGTGCACCTGCTTTACACAATGTTGCTATTATTTGAAGAAGTAATGACTCAACACTATATGCCGATGACCAACCTTGTCGGGTCAGTAATTCCATACCTGAAAATATTTTTATATTCATTTTAAATTATATAATAGAGAAAAACAAATACGTATATATATACTTACAAATTGCTCCTGAATATACATGTCCACCAGTAATTATAGGTCTAATGACACGTACCTAAACAAAAGAACAATAAGTTTTTTCTATAAATTTTGTTGTTTTACTATAATCAAAAAGTTTCATATGGTATTTTACTTACAAATGGTGGTGTAAATGGATAATTATCATTAAATGATAAATTTAATAAAATATGATCTAATTTATCAAAATTTTTCTCAGATGCTTTCATTTCTTCGAGATCTGTATATAATTTGCTATCTTTATCCACATGATATAACTAGAAAGAAAAATAAAAAAAAATTTTATTTGTTTCTTTGAAATTTCATTTTAAAAAAAAAAGTTAAATAAAAATTTTACTTTAACATTCCATTCATAAAGACTTTCATCAACAAGTTCAATAGTATAATCTCCATTTTTATATGATTGTGAACGAAATATATCTCTTAATTCTTTCATTAAACGATCAGTTGCTTGTACAGATGATGATGATGATGATGACGATGATGGTAATGATGATGATGAAGCTACATCTTTTTTTATTATTGGATTATTATTTTTATTAGCATATATTTTTTCATGATTTTTTTGTGCTGATTCATTTATTCTTTTATATTTTAATTGTTCTAATAATTGCCAATTTTCTAAAGATATTCCATCAATATCTTTAGTTATTTGTCCTGTTTGTTGAATTTTATCATCTTCATCAAGAGAACATTGTTCATTTAATGTATGATGTTGTTGTTCAGTATCATCATCATCATCTTCTTCTTCTTGATCAACACCTGAATCTTCAGGTTCTATATGATTTATTGAATTTGCTATTAAATGACTTGGTAATGATAAATTTGATGTATTAAAAAATGTATTTAAACGTTCAATAATGAATTCAAGTTGTAATGTAACACTACGAGTTTCATTTGATGAATCCGAATTTAATTCATCAAATATTGATGTTAATTGTTCTTGTACATCATCATTATTATCACTTTCTGTATACCATAAACATTTGTTTGGTACTTCAAGGATTTTACACTAAAAAAAAAAAAAAAATTTTTCTCTTCGTTTTTTCTTTTTTGAATAATTAATTATTTACACAAATTGATATTGATCGTTGATTAATAGGATCACGATAAATACTTGTTATATCATCAACACTTGAACTTATTATTGAAAATGGTGCATTTGTTCGTTTAGGAAAACATTGCTCAAGTACACGTAATTCTTCTTTTAATGATTGTAGTGATCGCATTATTAAGAAAAATCTAATAAAAGAGTATAAATCATTTGACTTTTTATTTTTATTTTTTTATACTTCGTCATTTACCTACGAATCAGGCGGCGGACGAAAGAACGAATAATGAACAAGTATGAAGGGAAGAAGAAAATCCCTGAATCAATGTCATCATCATTTATATACAAAACGAAGAAGAAGAGAAAGAATCAATGTTTTTCATTGGAGAATTTCTTTGATGCAATGAAATTAATTTCTAAAATATTTTATCTTTAATTTTAATGTTTATTTTTTTATCTATAAAATTTGATATAATTTAAAATATTTTCTTTTAACTTTGTTTACTAAATGAAGGTTATTATATAAAATATGATTGGTTAAATTTATAACCAATTAATAATTAATATGCACGCGCTTACTATCATATGTTTACGTCAGCTGGTCGATCACTTTTTATGCAGATAAATTTTGTTTCGTTTCTTATTAATGAAATAAATAGATAAAAACAATAAATAATATATTAGTAAATAGTTTTTCTTTGAAAGAATTCAACTATAATATTATCTAAAAACTTTCCAATGATAAAATAATCGTTATCACATGACACAATTGACAAAAACACCTTTACACTGAAGATGACAATTCATAGATATAAATATTGTTGTTATAGAGTTTTCTGTAAGTTTAGTTTTTTAGATTCCTATAAATAAATATATACATATATTCCGATGCCGTGGCAATCGTTTATTCCTTGGTCGAATTCCTTAAAAACGCGTGCCTGTCGTCAATTAATACATCATTATTTAGGTGTATTTTTCCAAGAAAAACTTTCACTTGATCAATTATCAATTGATCTTTTTTCTGGTCGTAGTCAAGTTAAAGATGTTATTTTAAATTTAAATGTAAATAAATGAAAAAAAAGCAATTGACATTAATTAAAAAAAAAAAATTTTTTTTTTTCATTATATTTATTTATTTTAGGCTTTAAACGAATCATTAACAAATAATAATATTCCACTTGAAGTAGTCAAAGCATATGTTGGAGAAATAAATTTATCAATACCATGGACATCATTATTACATGATAATTCTTTATTAGATATTAAAGATTTAGAAATAACTATTAGACCAAAACAGACAAATGATCAAAGTAAAAGAGAAAACATAAAAAAGAAAACGTTTAAGTATTTTTTTTTTGTTTATTTAAAGAATTAGCTGATGCTGGTTTTGAATTATCATCAATGTTTAATAGTATGAATACAAGTATGCTTATTGCACAAGAATG